AGTAAATGGTTTGTGAAAAAAAAAAAAAAAAAAAAAAACAAGTACTTCGACGAGAGGTTTGAAAGCGTCCGTTAACTGTTTTAAGTTTTAACATGCATGTTGACGAAAATGCACTTTCGCTTCCGCACATCGTTCAACTATATATATATGTATATATAGTATATAGTTTTTATTTTTTATTTTGTTACATCCTTCTTTCATAGTTACACAAGGCTCTGACAACAAATGCAAAGTTTTTTAAAGAAGTACTTTAAAAATAATCGAATTTATTTTAATGTTTTCGATAATCAAAAAAATAGCAAAATAATAAACATAGGAAAAACGTTATTAAAATTTTGGTATAGGTGAAATTTTCTCGGAAAAATGAATTTGAGTGTCAAATTTATTTTGAATTGTTCGATGACCGAAAATACGAAATAACAAATATAGAAAAAATATTACCAAATATTATTGTCAATACAGATATTCCACATTGAACTATTATTCATTTGCTGCATTTGGATATATTTAAGAAGCTATATATAAGTCTGACGATTTTCCAGAAATAAAACTAAAGCGACTTTAATAAGAACGTACAATTAGCAGATTATTTTTAATAAAGAAATTGCAACGTGAAGTATCTTCTTCATAAAGACTTCATGCAATTAATAAAATATTCTTTTACAGCATTTACTACCCAAATGAAATTCATAGAAGATATCTATCAAAATACATGTGCATCTTTATTATCATTCAATAAAATTAAAAAAAAAAAAAAAAAATAAAATGTTATAATTTTTACAGTTCGAAATTTTTATGTATTTGATAAAAATTAGCATTATTATTTTATTTCCCTTTAATATTTGTTTCCGTATGAAAGCATATGAAAGTACACGTGTCTGCTTTTGCATATCCGGTATTTTTCTCTTTTCGTGGTAACTTGCAATTGTTTTACAAGAAATATTAAATACGAAGCATATTTATATATATAAACATACATATGTACTACGTACACCTACGTATTATTTATGTGACTAATGAATAATATAACGTACGTATACCAATAAAAACTATCCAAAGGTTTAATTTTTTAAATTTCATCATACGTAATGCGATTATTCATATTCTCCATGAAACGTTGATTTTTTTAATGTTTCGTGCCAGAAAATCTGGGAGTTTTAAGGGAAACGAGATAACTATTTTCTAAAAATGTTGAATTCTTTGTTATTTTATCTACACAATAATATATTACTATCTTATTAGTGATGTAATAACAAATATCTTATATTTTACACTATAAACATGATAAATATTTTATTTTAGAACATGTCTTTACCGTAATAATTTGTTCTAGGCATGTGGCTGATTTTTCCTATGGTCCCCCTTCTGATACGCGCGATTCTCGCGAATCCAGAGATCGACGATACAACGTTACCAGACATAATGGAACTAGGGAACGATAGCAATGATATACTGACCGACAATCACACCGAGAAATCTTGGAACGAAATATGGAAAGTATGGAAAAAGGGATCGTTAAAAGGTGAGCGAAACGAAAAGGCTCCGAGTAATATTTTAACAGGTGAGAGGGGTAACTTGCGTTCTTTGATACACCTCCGGCCCTTCGCGAAATCATTTCTTTTCCAGTACCGTTTGATCCTTGGAGCGGCAAACGAGCAAAAGGATACTCCCGGGCGAACGTCGACCTACAAGGAAAGGGAACGAAACTCGTGCACGATTCCTACGATCTCGACGCATTCGCGGATGGATTCAACAACGTTAAGAGGATAAAGGCCAGGGGGAATATTTTCAACAGTTGGGGCGGGAAAAGGGCGGAAAAGCTGAACGACCGGGACGATCCATTTTTATCATTGACGAAAAGTCCTGGTAACTTCCGTCTGATGGAAAAAGGTTAGTCGGACATGAAACAGGTAACACGCTCGAACATATTTGAAAACGATCCGATCCTACTTACAACGTTCCAAGTATTCGTTATGTAATTCAAACTCGAGTTACATCGCATGGCGTTATATATATTCAAATTCGAATCATAAATTTCCAAGTTAATAGAGTTATGACAGATCGCAGATTCTGTAAGTTCAAAAATTTCAATTTTCGCTTCGTTTTAAAGATGGACTCGTGGGAAGAAACGGCGGGAAATACGACGACGAGAAACTTACGATACAAATGAAGAATTGGCTATCGACCGTGTGCAATACCTGGGTGAAAAAACACGATTGGTTCGTAGCCTTCTTAATGACACGCCCGTTGACGACAAATTACCAGCGAAATTAGAGGTTTTCATTCTTTATTTAACTATAATATCCTTAGCTGGCACTGCAGGGGAAATGACAAGAAAGCGGAACAACATTACAAGAAACCGAAGGGGTGGGGTCCATGGTTCGGCAAAAGAAGTTTAAAGGCGTACATCTTTCGTCTTGGAAACGAATATTTCGCGGTACCGACCTATTCCATAAAAGACGAGAGCTTCTCCCCTTTCAGAAAACACAATTAATCGGGCACTGACTATTCTATCTGTTTAGACGAATCCATAGAACGTCGAAAATTTATGACGATGCAGTTTTGGCGCGTTTGTCATCGTCATACTTTGCACAACTTCGTATATTTTGTTCGGAACATTATCTGATCTAAGGGGATCGAGAGTGAAAGGATATTCTTTAATTATTAATAACAAACGAGTTTCAGAGGCGAAATATGTCGAGTGATATATGTATACATATGTGTCATATAGCATTATAAATAAATTATCTGGTTAATCAAAATTTCCTTACGGATTCTGTGCATGTTTGTACATCCACGCGCGTTATTTTGATATTTACTTTGTACGGTTTGAAGATTGGTACTTGTGTGCGCGTGTGTATTAGTAATTCATTATTAAATACATTCGTTTAAGGATTTAATTGATTTTATCGTGTGAATATTACTTACCAACAATTGGAATTTACGTTTGTGAAATGACAGATCCGCGTGTATATAGGTTAGGAAATTTTCACTTCGCGAATGACAGCAGTACAGGTTAGCCAACCGTAAGGAAATGCAGCGTGCCAGTTTTATGTTGCGAGCCTGTGATGATTGATTGATTTTAAATCGAATGGAATTTTTGTTTCACCTCTACTATAGATAGAAATGAAAGGAGATTTGGGTAATTTACGATATTTGTAACATTCCAATCGAATATTAATATAACAGATATTGTAGAATTGTCTGTTTCAATAACCTAACCTCTATCGCGTTTATTGGTTTAACATTAAATTTTCTGACACACTTTGTTGTCATTGTATACAAATTACTGGCCTTTGCGAAAAAAGGAAGTTTGTCTCGCTTTTGATTTCGTGTAAAAAGAAAAGTAAGGAAAGGAAAGAGGATAGATAAAACTGCAAAAATATTTATGATATTAAAGTTCTTAAACATATGATATTTTGTTACAACGAACAAGCATTTTACTTGGCAACACATACATATATTTCTAGTATCTATCTCTCCTCATAGTATTATCTAATTTCTTAAACCAATTGGAACAAACAGTTCAGTATAATTTGTGATACATGTAGTCAATACGATTTACAAGGAATTTCATTCATTAATTAAAATTCTGTAACATACAAAAATAGACATATTTGTTAAAATAAGATATTTTCTTCAGTGAAATAGTAAATGGGATTCTTTTCATCATTTCTTGAATAATTGCCATGATTTTACACATTTTAAATTAAGCAAATAAATCAAATAACTTATATAGGTTTATTTATTCTCTTTTCTTAAATTATTAGAAACTTTCACACTTACAAATCACAATACCGATAAGTTTTAATCACGGGATGAAATACCAAATACCACGGCGATAATTGTGTACTCTAAAAATTATTTGTAAAGGTAATAATCTATGACGGGTACAAAACATTAAGGGAACAATTGTAAAATATCTGTACACATGTATGTACATTGATAATTTCTTTTCCAGAGAAAAATAGAATCTTCTATATTATGTCTGCTTTAAGTTAACATATAGGATATAAAAAGATAAATAGTTCTTCTGTGTCAAAAATTAAAAAAGCAATGATAAGAGCTGTATACATGCTTGTGGGATGAAACTAAAGTTCGAAAGAGATAAAACAACGTATTATTTCATACTATGCACGGAATGTAGTGATAATAACGGGTATAGTCCGCTGATAGAAGTAACGCCCGTTGTTTTTTTCTTATATCTATCAAGCGGCGCAGTTTAATACACGTTTAAACAAAAAAAGACTAGCAATACACAATGATTATTGTTGCTTTGTTGCCATTGTTGTCACCAAGAAAAGCGGTAACATTACTGCTGATTACCTGAAATGAAAATTTTCATATTATTCATATACTATCTCATTCGTAACATTATTTATAATTAGATTGCCTTTATGATTTTTATATTTTCAGAAATATCAGTCTTGATAAAAATCCGTAAATCCATTTACGATATTCATCAAGTTACCTAATAACATTCACGAATCTTCATTCATACTCCTTTCGATGTTTCTTCTTATTGAAATACATTAAAAGACAGCCTGCAAAGTCGACGCTTTCTTGCCTCTTACCCCAACGAATTTCCCTCGGAATTCCCATCGTGGATTCTTTTTCCCTCTAACTCCAAGGTATCTGAAGGGTGATCGTTTCTCAATTTCGTACACAGCGAGATTCGGAACGCCTGTTTCGAGAAACACAGTTCGCAGTATTTCCATTCGATCGTAATTTTTTTTTTCAACGTTGCGCAATTTGTATAAGTACCTTGATAACCGATCGTCGTGCCCGCAGTGCTCGAATTGAATCCATAAATCTCCCCGGCGTTCCTTTTGCCTCTCATCCCGTGGAAACCCATGCGTGCTCTTTTGAAAGGGCTGCCACTGTTTTCTATATCTTGAAAATCAGCTGCCCTCGTGTCGTAATCAGACGGATTTATGGAGTAATCTAAGTAATCATCGATCGTATCTTTCCTACGTTCGAAATCCTGCAAAGTTCCCCTAGGTCTTTTGAGATTCGCGCTATTTATAGTACGTGTATTTAAATATATATGGTATAACGTATATGCTCGTTATTCATTAAGGATATTTTAATATATTTTAATGTCTAAAATTACAGAATTTTAGTGAAAAGTAACGATTGGATCCTTATATGAACTTTCGATTTCAGTTACTTAGTTTATATCGAATTGATAAACAGAGATTAACTTTCTTTTGTAGTATTAGAAATATAACAAGATAATGGAGGATTCTACAATATAAATCTTTGAATAACAGCAGTATATAATGATGAATTATTAGTTTCAATTCCCATGATGGGAACTCATCAAATGACCTATTTTGAAATTTTCTTTCAATTATTAAAGAATAGAATTTTCTATGAATATCGATATAGGTATATAAATTGTAATTAAATAGAATTTCATAAAATTCTAATTCTAATTTCTAGCATTAAGGCTGTTGGTTCTTAATGTAATGTAACTATGATTGTGACATAAATTTCAGTGTAGTTTCGTTTGTTAATATTGCTTCACGAAGCATATACTCACGTGAAGATCTATAAGACTTGGTTTATCAAGATTTTCCCACGTATCAAGGATTGATTTTTTCCCCCTCGTTCCTTGAAATCCCATCGGAGCTCTCTTCTCCCACGGGAATTCGTCCTTCTTGTCGAAAACATTTGAAAATCCATCCATTGACAATACTCTCTTTTCATAATCTTCCGGATAATCGATCAAATACACATCTTGGCCTCTTGGATCCTGGAATCTCGTGGTAGCCTTCTTTTTAATTTGATCTAAGATCTGCACGTATAGGAAATTTATACAAGTGTGATATTGTAACATTCGAGTAAAGATGCAAACAATATTTTCATTTTATTATTTATTTAACAGTGACTGAACAAAAATTTGTAAATTTTGAGAAAATTTAATTTAAGAAAAATGAAAAGAATAGGAAAATGTTTGCAATGCAATGAAGAAAAACAAACTTTTACTTAGATATTTCAAAAGAAATCTCTAAAACTTTGCAAATCGTAAATTGTAAAACTTTGGAAATTGTAAATCTACGAAATTCCTCTGAAAAATTGTTACTCATTTTGATTATTTTGGTAGATTCAATTTTAAATACACGGTGTTTTTTCTCACACCAGATTGATTCATAAAAGAAGCGAAATGAAAATAACGTTTCTACTATTAACAGATGCAATTATGCAATGTATGCATAAACTTTTAAGAAGTTCCTCCGTTCCCCAGGGGAGTAATTTAAATAACGAGTTTGAATTCGCTGTTTCTTCTTCTTGTTCAGGATCATCGAAGAAAGTTGAAGACGTAAAATATAAAAGAACGAAGGGGAGATAAGTGGATGCAAGCAAATTAAGAAGCAAAGAGATACATATTATATTTCTTTGCTTCGTGCAAACGCTTTTTGAATGATTTTTGAGATCATTTGCAGACACGCTGTTTGCTTACCTCCTCGAGAGATTTTTTGCCTCTCATTCCTTGGAATCCCATCGGGGCACGTTTGTAATATTCATCGTCTAACAAGGCTTTCTTTCCTCTCATGCCTTGAAAACCCATTGGCGCACGCTTGTTAGTCTCCTCGGAAAAAAGTTCGTCCGCGACGTCAGTGATTATCGAGTTTTTCTTTCCACGCATACCCTGTATGCACACGCAACCATGCATTATGTATAATGTCAATCGAAAGAGAGAGAGAGAGAGAGAGAGAGAGAGAGAAACAGAGAATGAGAGATTTGTTTATTTAATTAATATTAAAATTACCAAAGCGGTCAAAATTTATAATTTTCCATAGAAATTTTGTTATATTTATAAGTGTGTATTTTCAGAGACTTGATTTTTTTTTTAGCCAAATATATAAATAGTGGCTTTTGCATTATAAATTTTTTCCTCTCCCTTGCGATTTAATTTCTCGGTTATAAATTTTATGCTTTAGTCATCGATAGTTCTAGTAGTAAACGAGCATCGCAGCGAGTGCATAAGATCGAGTGATGGAGTAATAATAGAATAATATTTGAGAGAATAATGTAGGAATAAAAAAAGGAGTAAGATAATATAAATTCTTTGAAGAATTTTCCAAAATTATTTTAATAAAGAGCTATTCTTTTGAGAATCATTAATTTCAGAAAATTATAAAACAATTTTATTTTATTAAAATTATTTCTAATTAATATCCCAGAATAATAATAGAATAACTCTTGAAAGGATAGGATAATAATAATGAGAAAAGAATAATGTAATATAAAGAATAATCCTTTTCAAACAATAATAAAATCAAAATTCTATACAATTATCTACTAAAAATTCTCTGAAATTATTTTAAAAAAGAATTATCATCTAGGAATGATTAACCTTAGGAAATAATTTTATTTTATTAAAATAATCTTGGAAACTTATAAAATAATCTCATCCGATCGAAATCAAATCTTTTAGTTTTATCAAAACAATTTTATTTTCTTTATGTATTTTAATTTTAATTTGCCTGAAAACCCATGATCGCGCGTTTCAAAACTCCAAAGTCGTCCGGGTCCAAAGTGTCAAAACTCTTTTTCCCCCGCATTCCTTGAAATCCCATAGCTCCACGTTTGTCTGAGAGAGCATCTGATGATTCTTCAGCGATTGCGAACGTGAATGACACCATTAATAAAAACGTCGAACGGATGATCATTCTGTAATAGAGAGATTAGATTATCGTTATTAATTTGTTATCTTGAATCGCCTGAATCGTTAATCTATTTATTACTTATATATTTTCGAAGTATTCGTAATGTATTTTATGAAGCAATCTAAATCGACGATCAATCGTCCATTCTATTTTAATCGTCCATTCTATTTCGTACGAATTCATTGATATCGATTCGTATCATTGTCGACAGGTTGGTATCGGAGTTATTTGGTATTTACAAGTGTGGCGTTTGTATTTTATTCACGCGAACGGACGCGTACAGTTGTGATTCTATTAAACCAACGTTGGAGCGTGAAACGAAATCAATTCATCGCTTCTTGCGTGCAAAAGTGTGTTACGTACGTTTTATTACTATGTATCATTGTTGTTTTATGAATACTGAATGAGAAATAAAAGAACGCAATAATTGAAATATTTTTTTTATGCGGATTGTTTCACGTTTCTATTGCTATATTCTCAGAGTGAGATAAGAAATATCGAATCGAAATAAGAAGAATAGTTTCTGAGAAAAAGCTGAAGATATTCATGGATATCTTATGATACCAAGGATTGAATTTTATATCATTTTTGAATCGGAATATTAATATATTTGAGCTGTTCTGTTTAATATCCTCAACATTTCTAGAATCTAGATTTTAGATTCTAGATCTTTTGTATTTCTAGAGTTTAGATTTTAAATTCTAGAGTTTTCACATTTTTAAGGTCTAAATCTTGGATTTCGAAGCCTTACCGTTTTAAGATCTAGACTTTAGGTGCCAGATCTTTTGTATTTTGCAATCTAGACTTCAGATTCTAGACCTGTCACATTCACAGAGTCTAAATTTTTGATTCTAGAGTTTTCTCTAGTTTAAAATTTAGATTTTACATTCTAGTTTAGATTTTAGAATTTTTACATTTTAAAAATCTGAAGTTTCGATTGACAGTTTTAGTCTCTTTCCCATTTTAAATTCCAGACTTTAAATTCCAGATATTTTATATTTGATCTTTCACATTTTAACAGTCTGAATTCTGTTTTAAATTTCAGGTTTTTCACATTTTTCGAATCTGGATTTTCGTGTCGAGTCGTTCGAAACTCAACGAACAGCGAGTTAATTGCACAACGCACGTTCGATAGTGGAACGTTTTGTACGAGAGATATCGCTTTGTAAGTTTAAACGACGCGGTAAACCGTGTCAGATCGTACGGCTTGATTAAAACGCTTCTCAGCATCGCGTCTCGTATCACCTCATTGCCCTCGTGGTTTCTTCCTCGTTTCGTCATCGTTCTCTCGCACTTTTCAGATTTATAGTTTCATTTCCTTCAACTGTGTGACGTCCTCGCTCGTTTCTTACGAACAGGATAGTTTCAGGAGTCATTTTATGAGAAAAATTTCAGGGATCATCTACTGGATGAAAAAGATCTTTCGTGTCCTTTTCTTTTTTCTTTTTTTAAAAAAAAGATAAATAATTCATCGCATCATTTCGATCACTTTTACGCGAATGGTGAATAAAGATACAACGTGCATAGCACAGAAATAACGACACGACTGCCTTTACTCGTTTCTTTACGTTCCAAGGAGGTAGTTTATTGCTAAACTGTGGGCTTTTATGCATTTACAGGGAACTTCAAAGTGCAAAATTGCATGGTATTTATAATTCTATCTATCAGAATTCTATCTCTTTGAACTTCTTCAATATCTAATACTTTTTGAAACATTAAAAGTGTCATCTTAAAATTTGTAATTAATATTCAGCATGAAATATTGATCTGCCTTGCTAATATTCTTATTAATACTAATAAGAAATAACGTCAGTTAATGAGAGTGAATAAGAACATTACAAGATAAATATTAATTAGTTAATTCCTCAACGTTCATTATATTTTTCACACTTTCGAGACTTAATATTAATAATAACAACACTAACAAAATAACGACGATGATATTAAATTCAACATCAACAAAGTATCCTGCATAATTTTCTGTATTACAAATTTTCCACAGATGCGCCAGCAGATACAACCTGAATCGAATTAAATGACAAAATGATGAAAACCGCTCGAGTGAGAGACAGTTTACTGTAAACGATAAATCGATAAATTTAAATACTGTGGCCACTCTCTCCGGCTCTCTTCTGGAAAAGGGCAGGGTAAATTGACAAAGAATTTGACACTGGAGGAGTTTGAAAAGATTCGCGTTAACGAATAGGACCATGGTTGATCGTCGAGGTCAGTTCGCCGGCTGACGTAGAGCAAACGGAGCGAGGATTCCCCTGACTCGATAAAGAGACCGAGACCGGACACACAGAAGGAGAGGATGGATCGACGGGGATTCGGGGAAGACGAGGGAGCAAGAGCGTCGTATAAATTCTATGCTAAGCCGACTTTTTTTTCTTCACGGATCGGTCACTTGTGTAATCAGTCGGGGACCAGCCAAGTCTTTGTATTCCACAGTGTCTCTTAAAATCGATGATCCGCGTCCAGCGGATCCTTTCTCTCCTTAAAACACACACACACACACACAGTGAAATTATGTTATCTCTGTTAGGAATAATCGAGGCAAGTGTTTATTCGACTCGACTTTCTTAATTTTCTGAAAACTGGAAAACTTTTCGTTTAATACTTTGTGACGAATTAAGGGTAGAATTTAAGTTGGTTTATTGTTGAGAAACTTATGATCATGTAGTTTAGGAGAAAATATACTTCTAAGAGGAGAGGAAATCTACTTTCAATAGTAAAATAACGGTAAGGTAACGAATGATTAACTTACGATGTTAAAAATTAACATAAAATAAATTAAACTAAATTCTTAGTGTTTGCTATTTTAATAATAAACTCGTTTCCATAATTTTGGACTTACTCTGTTAATTGAGGGGCATTTTGTTTGATTTCATGAAAGAGAAACTATATAATTCGAGTTATTTCACTTAAACTTGGGAAGTTTGATCAGGAAACTCAGATTTTACGATTAATTGCAAGTAGTTTAAATTGATTCATTGTGCAGTAAGAACAACACATTGCGATTATCGTTTTAGTTTGTTTTTAACTGACAACATGAATCTAAAGCATCGCGTCCTATTTAATTTCGCAACATATTTATAAATAATTTCAATTATTGAACTGATGCTCAATTCAAACGTTTTCCAGGTTCACATACGGAGAATGCTCGACGGCGAGAAAAAGAGAAAGAAAGAGGCTGAACTCAAGGAGAGCGATGAAGATTTCATAAAAACGTTCCAAGCTTCTATATCGCTGCATTTTAAATTCAAGTATGATACACCGTTTCGACTGACAGTAAAACCCCCACTAGCGAAACACAGGAGGGATGATACTTTTTCAGCGAAGGTGAAACAAAAATAGCCACGTTCACTGTACGGTGAGTAGGGTTGCAATTTACAGCTGCGCATTCAGGTTGAATGGGGACGAAACACGATCGGATGAGATTGAGAGGTAGGCGTATACGTATATATATCTGTATGTGTGTACAAAGAATTAAAAAAAAAAAAAAGAAAACAGAAAGAGAGAATGAGGGAAAGATAGTGGAAGCCAATACGAAACTGATTGGAATCGTTTACTGTTTTACCCTGCAGTAATCAATCTTTGTATTATAGTAAGTACCATTCTTCGTTGGTACCATTGTCGTGATGTCACGGGAGAGAGAGAGCTAAGAACGAACTTTATTTTTACCTTTACCTTTACCTTTACCTTTATCCACTATCTTCACCCTAACCGACAGTTTACCCTTAATCTTAATTTCAACGTTACGTGTTTTCCTCCACGTGGGACACAAACAACGTGGGTCGTTCAGTTTTCAGTACACAGTGGTTCGTGAAAGTGTTTGAGCATTTATGATCTTTTACGAACACAAGCGGTTGCAAGAATTATTTTATTTAATTTGTCTGCTTGAATTTAATTTCAGCAATTTAATCCAATGTAATTTATCTACTTTGTCTGATTTATCTAATTTAATCTATTTTGAATTTAATTTTCATAATTTACTGACTATCCGAAGTGTAATCTAACGCATTAATTTTTAATTTAATTTCCTTACGTCAGTGGTTATCGTATCAATTTTTAATGTTATATTTTCGTTTGATGCCAGAAGCGTGATTTAATTAATTCTTAATTAAATGTTTGATTAGAGTGAAGAGCTTGTGTTGGTAAAAGTTTGAATCAAATCCGAAAGTGTTTCTGGATAACGAAGGGCTCGCGGAAACTAATCAGTGTAAGTGACTTTTTATTAAAATCGACTTACGCGATGCAAATAGTTGTTGATAAAATCTTGATAAAACCGTTGACAAAAATTTAGTTATATTGTTACAATATGATCACTATAATATAATATTTTTGATATAACAATGCACGATAACTAAACTGTCCTGTTGACTGAAGATTTTGTTAATAAAAGGATAATTGCATGGCGCAAGTTTTTAATAAAAAGTAACTTACACCGATTAACTTTTAAATCTAATTCTTCAGAAAAATGCAGATTATGATGATTACATTAATAAATTTAGAGGAAAAAAATTACATGATATATGAAACAATACAAGAAAAAATCATAAAATCAATATACAATACGTAATAAATTCCAATATTTACTAGGATTATATTTTGTGCGTTTGAAATTACACGATTGAAACAATGTTTAATTATACGTTTAAACATTCAATCCCTATATATACTAACTTTTCGCCAACAATTCGCGAACCATTTGAAATATAAAATTGATCAATGAAATGTCACCAGTAATAAAATAATTCTTTTTGTCTTGGTAGATTCATATCAAAAGCATTGCATTAATATATATTGCAGGCTATACGTAGATATATCATACTAGAATTTGCACGTGTTGTCAACCACGATATTTTTTTAATCTCATATTATAATTCCTTGCAATAATTGTATTAATACTTTGCTCATCGAAAAGTAAAAAAAAAAAAAAAGGATGTTAATCCTCAATGACCTTTCAAAATAATCCTAAATCAGATTTCTACTAAATAACCAGTTCTGATTTCTATTAAATCCTCGAGTTTACGTACGTCGATAGACTCAAGAACGATAGAAGCATTTTATACATATACACGTGTTATCTTCTTTGCGATCAATCTAATTTCAAGGAAAGAAAAAAAAATCAAGTAATGCGAAACACGCGTCTGCATTGCACGAAGACTCGCGTGATCGCGTGTATTCTCTTCGAGGTAATCTGCTTAGCTTCGAGCAGTTTCACCGAACTTTTCTCGAAACGTTCTTGCGTTGAGAATGGTTTGCAACACCAAAATCGCGAGAGATGGAGAAGAAAAGGCCGCTCTTTTGTTTGCTAAAAGTGTCAGGAGGAAAAGTGTAAGGAGGAAAACTAGGGAAAAGAGAAGGGAGATGTATAGCTATCGCAGGGCGAGGGAGAAATTACGAAGATTATCGTTATAGGGGGGTGGAGAGGAAAGTCGGTGGGTAAGAAATTGCATTGAGATAAAATCGCGGGTAGGAAAATTGAGACTTTATATCGGTCTCGTACTTGCGATTCATTTACTACGCAGACATCCACTGTTGGATCCAGTAGAAGAGGCTGCAAAACGTGAGGATCGTTGCAATTTCGATTGGTCTCGTTTCGAGGAATCTCTGAAGATCTTCTTTGAGAACGTTGATGTTCTCGGTAACGTAGTCGATGAAGCGATCCCTCGAACGAACATCTGGCATATTTCACCTAAAGTAAATTCCACGACGTTTTCTTCGTTCGTATTACGTGCTTCTTTTCAATTTTCACTTCAATCTATCATCATCTTATGAACCAAGAAATGCGAATTCGCTTAATCTAAAGATCTCGCGATCTTATCTGGAGGATCGTCTGATGAACGAGAAATTTTAACCAAATTGGCGAATGTTCCCACGCAATAGAATCGATTTTAATATCGCCGTAGCAATCGTACCAACCTAATATTTATTCGTTTGGAAGAATAATCGACGAACGAAATTTAATTTACAATCGTAACACTGTCGGTATAAAAATTAAATTGGCTTTACTGAAATTTCGATATAACCGGGATTGTGTTTGATTTAATAAATTCGTTGTTAAAGCAAATAAAGATGGTATCGTACGTATCTGTATGTACATTTCAAACGATCAAAAGATAATTAAGAAGTATTTCTTTCATTATATTATATATTATACATTGTCATTAATTACATTGTATTGTTCAGAAACTTTTTGAGTAAAATTCAAAATGTAAAATATTAGTACTCTCACGTTATGAAATGCCTCAAATTGCGTTAATGAAAATAAATAAAATAAAAATGAATATAAATTTAATATAATAAATAAAATCAAGCCACGCAGTAAAATGTAATTGAAGTTAAATTTAATATAATAAGTGAAATCGAATTGAATTGAATATTTTAAATTATAAAGTGAACTACTATCAACAAAGTGAAAGTTGCAACAAGCATTGTACTCTATTTTATATGATTCTTCCTTTGTCGTTTGCATTACATTGTTAACACTAAAACTACCAAAGTGGTCAAAATGACCAATTTATAATTTTCTAATGGAAATTTTATATATATCTGACAGTGTATTTTTAGATGTTCGAGTGATGTTTAGTAAAATATATTATAAACAATTATATTATATTACTATAATACAATTGTATTTAATATAATAATATAATAATTACATTATATTATTAATATATAAATTTTTATTTATTATATTTATTTCTATTTTATTTATAATTAATATTATACAGAAGCTCGAGTTCTTTATTGTATCATTAACTTTTTCTTGCGCCATGCACTTCAATTTCTTTGCTACGAGTATTATACTTTAGTCATCGGTGATTCTACCATTAAATTTCCCAAGAAATGCATATATGTATATCTACAATTTAGCAACATCTTATTACTCTCAAAAGTATATCTCAAAAGCAACTGCGAAAGTTGTTAAAATCCGTTTTCCCCTTGTTCCAATCAATACTACCAGCTCCTGTGAAGCACGACACGAACTTTTACAAACGCGTGCGAGAAGTCGTCTTTATTTTCTCGCCTCGAGAACGGTGTCGCCTCGTTCTCGAGGTAAAGGAAGCTTCGAACGAAGGTAAAAAAGTTCGAAGAAGCCCGGCTCGATCCCAGCGAAAGAATGGGCAAACACTTGGTAACTTGGGGAAACAATGCGTAAACGCGACGCGATCCGCATAGTAGGAGCTCGAGGAAAAAGGACGAAAGGGAAGAAGAAGCGCCATTGCAAACAGACAAACACTCGACAAGGTGGAAAATGGTACC